TATATATATATATATATATATATATATATATATATATATATATATATATATATATATATATATATATATATATATATATATATATATATATATATATATATATATATATATATATATATATGAGGTCACATAGATAGAATTCGGGTAATAGATTTAGGCATGTACTAATAAGCCATGATTTGTGATATGGCCAATATTAACAATTATAGAAACATTCACATACATAAAAGGGGGTCTCAGAATATTGAATTTAAATATTTTGACACCATGTGATGTCACAATCAATTCACCCAATATGTGACTATGACCAATAATAACAATAATGCAGGGAGTAAATATGATTCGGAACAATGTAGAAACTCGTATAAAATCATCCACTCTACAATTTATCACATCTCAATGATTGAAACAATCGTGGAACTATTCAAAGGTTATAGAAGTAAATCAAGTTTATATTAACTCACATACCCATGACAATTGACATTTTCGATTTTTCTTCAAAGCAACCCACGATTAGAATGACTGATTTTGTGACCTGAAATATTTGAAGATCCATTTACAATACAATATTTTCATTCACCAATTGTAACTTTGAACCAGATCAAATGTAATTCGGGATGATAACCAAGCTCAATTCTTTAACTCTATATAATCCCTTGCATCTGTGATCGTTATTTTGAAAATACCTGCTCTTGATTGATGATAATTTTCATTTGACTTCAATAATCCATCGATTTTGATGGAGCCAAATTTCGACAGTGGGGTTGAGAATTTTGGCACCGGGGAGTTCTCTATCGCTTTTTTCTTCTGTTCCATGGTCCCAGTGGATTGAAATTGGGAGACTTGTTCGGTTTGAAAAGATGTTTTAACTGAATCCTTGATATTAGGAAGGAATATATTTACATATTTATATTAGAATCTAATAATCTGATTTTTGAATGTTTAAAACAAGTTTTTTAATTCCCTTTTTCTAATTCTTTAATGTCGTATAATGTGGGTTTTATTTGAACTGGACATATAAACTCGACAAGTCTAAATTGAATTTTAAGAGTATTACTAGGCTCCAAGTCTCAAGCCCTAACTAAGCCCCTATTTGATAGCCATTAAAATAATATTGTTTTCTTATACATACTTTCAATCACAAATTCTCACGATAAAATATTTCGCAAGTAAAGTTATAGCTTCTTTTTTTTCTACTTTTTACCCACACATTCTTCAAAAAATCACTATTCCAAAATTTATTTTCCTTTAAAAATTCATTTTAATGGTCGTCAAACAGAGGTTAAAATTTTAAATAAAGCCCAAATAATAATGACATTTCCACATAAATTTTAATATTTTCTCAATAAGCTTTCATTTTGTTCCTTAAACTTTTAAATCTTTTCACCTAAGTCCTACTTGCTTAGCTGGTACCAAGTACCAAACTTCAACTTAAGTGACTCCTAATTGAGGGTTTGAGTTCGACTCCCAAGGACGTGACCACGCGAGTAAAAAAATAAAGTTGGGACTCAACCTCCCAATGGATAGTATGTATGCATGCTATACGAATTGAATCCCATTAACTACGTCAGAGCTTAATTTGACAAGCCATGTTCAGGTGGATGTATTGTTACAAAACCTACCTTATATTTATCTATTTCTCATATTAAAGAATGTTGCACATATTTATCTAAGCTTAATATTAATAGCATATTTTGTGAGCTAAGCACTAGTAAGTTTAGTCTAGTTTAAATATGCAATGTTGAGAATTTGGCCTCAAAGATTTAAAAGTTGGGACCTATTTGAACAAAATGTGAAATCTTCGTTGCAATTTTCTATTTTCACAGAGTCTATCAATTAAATTTATTAACTTATATATTAATGAATTTTAAAAGACCATAAATTTTATTGAATTTCGTGAATTTGAATATTGTCTACAGAATCTATAAAAATCTCATTAAAAATTGTGAAATTTTAAAAAAAAATAAAAATTAGTGTGTTATAAAAATAAGGGTTGTGCTATAGTACCGGACTCATTTATACATGACTTTCATAGGCAATTTTTTAATAGCCGACTTGGCATCAATGAACATGAATTTTTTTAATAGCTGACTTTCACATTGAACCGGGAGAAGATTTTGAACCACGCCATTTTCCCCAAAATTATAAAACCCTCACACCATTTCCCTCCTTCCCGTCATTCCCCACAGTGATTTCGACAAATCCGATGCGCTTCAGGCAACATCCGACGACATCATTTTTGTTGAGCTCTGTCGAACTCGCGTGAGCCACACTCTTCTTGTAGTTATTAAAGTACAGAAAGTTAATAAATGTATATAATGTTTAGCAAACCTAACCTTGCAACTCAATTGCAGCAAACACATTTTTCTCTACCCATTAATAGTACTTGTCCTTCACCAGTAAGAAAAAGCCCATTAACTTAAGCTATGACTTCAATTTTTTTCACCAGTTTGAGGTTTGAAAATTGATGAGGGAAATCAGAAAGAAAAGCAATCCAATAATGAAGTTTCTTTTTGAGAAGCATTGAATCAAGAATATTTTTTCCAATTCTACCAAAATCAAATTTCTTTGTTTGCAAACCACGAAAAATGGCGTTGCCCTTGAGAGTTAATGCAGTTGTAAAGTGATTGGATACTAAATTGATTTTGCATTCATATTTTTTAATCCTTCAAGAGAGGAATTATTTGAGTGTAATTGGGTTATTTTTTGTTAATAATTATCGCTTCTTTTGTCGATACAGATAAAATTATGGAAGATGGCATTGATGATTTGTTTGTGGAAATCGAGAATGAGATCGTTGCGGAGAATATAAACTAAGTAGAAGATCAAATGTTAGGAGGTGATGGGGTCGTTTTGCCCGAGGTGGGTATGATTTTCAACAGTGAAAATGAAATGTTTGAGTACTACAAAAGATATGCATATGGCGTAGGTTTTTCCGTTAGAAAAAGGAATTCAAAAAAAGGGGGTCGATGGAGTTTTGATATTCGTGACATACACTTGTAACCGTGAAGGCCGAAGAAAAAGTACTGCTAGTGATTCTGTAAAGCTGCAACCAACAATTCAAACCGATTGTAAGGCCATGATAACATCTTCAGATGATCATGGATTTTGGAGAATTAATGTAAACAAGTACATCAAAGTCCAGGTTGTTTTGTTGCAACCGAGAATTAAGTGCACAGGTGAAATGGAAACTTGAAGTAAATGATATGGCGAGTTTCCGTTGCACAAAAGTTACAACTTTGCGGTTGTTGAAGTAGGTGGGCATGAAAATATGACGTGCGTGGAAAAAGATTGTCAAAACTATATTGAACAAGTGAGACGATTGAGACTCGGAGAATGCCGCAGCAATACAATCCTACTTTTCAAATATGCAAGCACCGTGCTCGAGATTTTATTTCGGTATTGATTTGGAGATGAGTTACGACTCAGGAATGTATTTTGGGCAGATAATAGGTACGATAGGCATACGATGGAGAAGAGATGTTAGTAGGGCACACACGAGAGTCGCAGTGAACTATGATGGATTGGTTAGTATACCTAGTCAGGTGAGATATGACGTACGTGTCAGTCTTTTGCTGTGGTGGCGGACCTTGCTGCAGATGATGTCGGTCAAACTAGTGTGATAATGGAGTGGATCGAATCACAACGTAACGTTCTTATGGTGACACGGTTGAGTACTGCTAGTAATGTCCTCACGCATCATACGGTACAGTTAGGCACCTAGTGTACTATATCACAAAATACTACGAGTGGGAGCGTACTAGATCCTATAGTATCGAGAAGAAAGGGTGCGTCGAAGAAATTTCGAAACAAAAGCCCATTGGAGTCGAGTTCAAAGAAAGTAAAGGTATCTTAAAATATTATTGTTTGAATTATTTCTGATTCCAAATACAAATTTTCATATGTTCTTTTTCACATGCAGGCAACATTGACATCGAGTAAAGGAAAGAGACCTAAATCCAATCAGAGTGTTACGCCCCAGTTGATACACATGATCTTCAAGCATCTCAATATCATCGATATTCAATGGATCTTTAGTTTTAAATGAGATGTTTGGATTGGTTTTGTTAAACACTTTGGATTGGATTGGTTTTGTTAAACACTTCGGATTGGATTGGTTTTGTTAAACACCTTTGCATTCAGGCATCTTTAGTTCTGAATGTAATGTATGGAATGTCTTTATTAAACACTTTGGATTGGATTGGTTTTGTTACACACATTTGTATTTAGACAATAATAAGAAGAACACAAGTTTCAACTAGAACCAGTCATCTGAAAGCACATTTTGAATCCATTTTCTCGAAGTAGGCACAAAGTTCGGTACAACTAGTCATACATGTACAAACATACATAACGTAAACATTTATTAAATACTTGGGGCTACTAATCTAGCTGTCCTATTTCATTTTGCATTCCTTTCCACGATTGCTTTGCCCTTACGGATCGTCATGCTCGTGTTCATCGAAATCCGGACCTCTTCTTCGTCAGGTAGATGAATTTGATCTTGAAACATGCGGGACAAATTTGACACTGCTTTTCCTGATGTAGGATTGGCCAAGCTATTGACGACACTTGATTCACCTTCTCTAACCCACTCCTAAAAATCGCAATTCTGACTGCAGTATTTGAATAGTTTTCCTTTGTTATCTATCTCCATCTCCACCTCAAAGCACTTCTGGAAACCACTCTTGCAGGACGGGCATCAGCGCTTACTTCAGCATTCACTAAAGAAGTGTCCCTTGCCTCTACAACTATGACAAATTCAGAAATTTTTTCCTCCCATTCTACAATAGGAATCAACCACAAATAATCCATCATCAATTTTATATACCATATAAACATGACAAACAATCTCATTAATGTAAATTACTAACCTAAACAAACCAGTGACTATTACATGCAACAAACACGCTCTTTAAATCTATTTTAGAATCAATTAGTAGAATGTGTGTCTTCGAATGAAATGAACCCAAATTGTTGACTACGATTTGGTGCTTGAAATGAAATGGGTGTCTTCAAGTGAACTAGAGTTGGTAATGCAAATGAAATGAACCCATAAAAATTAGATTTGGAACTGTAAATGTGAAAACCTTACTTAGTCAAATAAGTGAACCTTACTTCGCAGCACAACAAACCAAAATTTCTTGTGGGATGAGAACTCTGGTACTGAGTTCGCGTGGGCCGACTTGTGGGATGACGACTACACAAGGTTCAGTTCGTAGGGACCAACTTGCGGGATGAGGACTCCAGTGTTCAGTTTGCGACGGCCAACAACAAGAAAATGTGTGGGAGTTCAGTGATTGGAAGCAGGGAGAGCCTTGTGATTGAAAAATTTAGGGCTCTTGTGATTTTGGGAATAACGAACCACATCATTCATTTCGCCCCCGTTTGGTGCACATTTTTGGAAAAAGAATGTATTTTTATTGTTGATGTGATGGAGAATATGTGATTGAAAAATAAGGAAAAGTTATTGATGTGATGTAAAATATTATTTTATTGAAAAATGTGTGGTTAAAAATGAGTAAAAGAATGAGAATGAAAAAAATTGTGGCTCAAACAGTCATTTTTGTATCCCGTTTTCTTTCTTTTATTTGTAAAACCTCCTTCTTACACAACGCCACGTGTGCACTTTTTAAAGGGTTTTTTAAATGCTTGTATTGTATCTGTTCAAATGAATCTAGTAGAATATCTTTACCCTAAAAATAAAGGAGCAAGATAGAAATAAGAATAGAATAGAATGAGTAAATAAACTCCTGTATAATTTTATTATAATAATGGAACTATATTTTAAGATTCAAAATGAGAGCCACAATCTGAATTGAATAAACTCTTTTGAAGTAGATATGACTTATGTAATAAATCAAATAAGACTAATGGTGTGTTTTCAATTGAGATTTTGATTGATTTTAAAAATCATTCGATATTCAGGTGTCCCCTATTTAAATTTTAATGAAATTCATTGAAATCTCGATGTCCTAATTGAGATGTTAACGAGTTTTAATAAATCTATTACAATTTCAGTTGTGGACATTTTCGAAAATTTCAAAAGAGTTTGTTAGGTATATTTTTAAGAATGAAATTCATCCAAATTCTTTGAAATCAATTTTTTAATGAAATTTTTATAAATCAACGACTTAATACATAGATTTTAAAGAATCTCATTAAAAATTATTGAAATCTTAACTAAGCTACTTCGATAAAATTTCAGCTTAGTAAACCCGTATTAACCTTCAATAAAGTTAGTTGTTATAATCTTAAAAAAAATAAATAAAAAA